AAAGCAATCCCAGAAAATAAGAAGAGTGGGCAGCTAGAAAAGATGACCAAATGCTCTGGCCATCTAGTGGGGTTTGCCTAATATGACCTTCACTGCAGCGACCTGGCTGGGTAGGGGATGTGAAAGGGCTCCTGGTGGCAAGTCTTTTGGTCTTTTCCCTTGGTGTTTCACTCATCCATTCATCTGAAGGAAAAGGTGGAGAGCTCGCAGCTACTGTGCACAGAGGCCCTCCTTGATCCCTGTTTTCAGTGTGACCTGCCTCTTAATCTTGGCACACTGCTCCATGAGTTCTTTTAATTGTCTGTCTCCAGGGAAGGGACTTAGGTTGGGCTTAGGTTGGTGTTGCAGGGACATTTCTTGGCTATGAAGAGTGGAGAGGATCAGACATGCAATTACTTCTGAAAATAGTTACTTAAACCTCATCCATATTTGAACCACTCTCCCTTCCCTCTCACTTCCTGAAGGATCTAGTGCCAGCAATTCCTTCATGTTTTGTGGGATTTTGTGGCATAAATTGGGTTGGTTCTTGGCAGTCTTTGCTGCTAGTTCATGATTCAGTTCTTTGGGTCCTAAGTTATTTGCTTTCCAGCTTTCAAAATTGTGTTTCTATTTTTCTCCTCTCTCATTTTCCCCTATCATATAGTTTATGCCTATTAAAAATCCTACTCACTCTTGTTCAGTAGGGGGTTACAAATGTTCAACCCATGATTTTTAACAACCAGTCTGTGCATAAATATCTCTGCATTCTTGATTACTTCCTTTGGATAGTGTCCCAGAAGTGGAATTACTGGGTAGAATGTGCCATCTTTTTTGGGCTCTTGATGAACTTTGCCAAATTGCTTTTCAATAGGATTATGTTCTCCCTGAGTTTCCATGACTTGCCTTTTTTCCTGAATTTTTGCCCACCATGGGTAGGATCATTAAAAAATAAAATATTCAAATATTTGCTATTTCAACAAGTGGAATATTAACTCACATTTGCCACAATTTTCCTAAAAGAATGATCTTTCAGGAAGGACACATAAAAAATTAAGATGTGTTATATACATGCACAAACTTCCCATGATGAACATAATTATTATGTACTGAAAACATGTACTAATAATTTTTTTTAATCTAAAAAGAATGAGTTTTCTGAATGAAGCTTTAATAGGGGCAAGGAAGCAGAAATATACACTCAGCCAAATGGAGGCAGGTGGGGATGGCAGGATGGAGACATGAGGGTAAGTAGACTGCAGCCTGTGCTTATGGGTGCTCTGGAAGAGGCACTATAGCTTGTGCATCAAAAGGAAGAAGCCCCAGGCCTCTGCTATTTTTCAGGGTATTAGGAGCAGCCCTGGTCCTGAACAGGCACATTCACTTGAGCAAAGAAAAGGAAAGAAAAGCAATTATGATAGAAATGGTACAGGCACGCTTTGACTCAATGGACAATATCTGAGAGTACATCTCAAATGAGCATCTGAATTGGCCTTTCAATTTAAGTAAGCTTCCATGGTTTTCTTGTAATCAGGGCCATCTTTTTGTATAGTTAATGCTTTGATGCTTTGAAATATGTATTTTGTTTTTCATAGCATGGTCCCAATATGCAAGCCAACCTCTTCATATGCTGCTGAATTTATGATGTGCGAAATGAAAGTTTTTTAAAAGGAAATTTTTATTTTGTAATAAAGTTCCAAAATAGTAAACAGAATTCCTCCAACTTTACTTACATAACTACTATACAATTATAAACAGTAAGAAATCAACACTGATAAAATATGATTTAGTAATTTATAGATTTTATTTGTATTTCATCAGTTGTACCACTGAGAAAGAAAAGCAGTTCCCATAACAGCTTGGAACTGCTCTGGCATTATCAGTTAGGCCTGACCCATGCTATGGTTTCAGCTAGGCTGGCCTTCACAGATCAACCTTGATGTTCTCTTTGAGCATAAACAATGTCTCAGAATTCCAACATCAAACAAGGCCACTTTGTGACCAAAATGGATCAAGAAAAAACAAGGCCACTCTGTATTTTTACCTGAACAGAAACCATCAACAAAGATATTCAAACAAAATGACCAAACAACCTAGGCATGATGGCCCATACCTATAATCCCAGCACTCTGGAAGCCTGAAACAGCAGAACTATACGTTTGAGTCCAACCAGGGCAACTTAGAAGTTTAGTGACACTCTTGTCTCAAAACAAGGAACAAAGAAGCACTGAGGGTATCAAGGGCCTGAGTTCAAAACCCGGTACTGAAAGAAAAAAAAGAAAAGAAAGAAAACGTGACTGTCTGCCATTGCTTTACTAATTTTAGCTTTAGTCACTCTTGATTTCTTTTGGACTTTCGTTAAGATTCATTGAAAGAGGCAATTACAGAACTACCCCCTACTTATTGACAGCATCCAATCCAGAGCAGCTTCATCCTATAAATATTCTTCGGTGGTTTGCTTCTCTCTCACTGTATCCCATCGGTCACTCCATATCAGCTGAGAGAGTGCTTCTTCACTCAGTTGTCCAGCTGCATGGTACTCCTCTGTTGTGTATGGACTGTAGTTTATGCAATTTCCATGTATAGACATTTAGATCATTTTCAGTATTTTGCAATTTCAGTGAAAACTTTGCTTATCCATTATAAATGATTGGCTTATTCATTAGTGAATTGCAGTGAATATTACTGCTGCAATGAAACACTCTGAAGCACTGATTTTTGCAAGAAGGGCTGGTGCAGTGATCAAAAGGAGACATGTGTGCTTCCAAAGCTGATGTTCCCTCTGCAATGACATACTGATTCTAGGGTTTTCTTTTTACTCTGTTGGTGATTTCTTTTGACATGCAGAAACTTAAAAATATGAGATTCCAGTTGTTGACTTTTTGAAGTATTTCTTATATGCAGTTTGGTTTTTGCTCATGAACTCTGTACCTACCCCTATGTCTTCAATATTTCTACCTACTTTTTCTTCCAGTAGATTTAGTGTTTCTTCTTCTTGAGCATGTAATAATCTTCCTGACTCAGCCTCCCAAGTGCTGGGATTACAGGTGTGTGCCACCACACCTGCAGATTTAGTGTTTCTGTTTTAATATTTAAATCTTTGATCAATTTTTACTTTAGTTTAGTGCATGGTGATAGATATTGGTCTAATTTTAGTTTTTGGCATGTGTGAAGCCAGTTTGTTCAGCACCATTTGATAAAGAGGCTATCTTTCTTCCAGTGAGCATGTTTGGCCTCTTCATCAAAGATAAGGTCATTGACTGTGTTTGTAGCTGTGCCTGCATCTTTTAATCTGTTCCACTGATCTTCAGGTCTGTTTTTCTGAGAGTACCTTGCTGATTTTATCACAGTAGCTTTGTAATACAATTTCAAGTCAGGGATTGTGATGCCTCCTGTCTTTCCTTTATTGCCCAGGACTGCTTTTGCTATTCTAGTTCTCTTCCAATTTTACATAAATTTTAGGAATGTTTTCTCTAGGTGTGTAAAGTATCCTAATAGTATTTTAATTTGGATTGCATTGAATTTTCATAGCAACTTTGGGAACATGACCATTTTCATAATGTTCTGAAGTAGAAAGAACTTTTGCAAATAGGAAGACAAATGAGACAAGGAAGAAGAGGGAAGGAAGGGAAAAAGGATTTAAAGAAAAGAAATTGAAGGAAAAAATGTAAATAGAGCTTTTATAAACATAAAAGGGAAAAAAGATTGGAGGGAAAGGGGACAAGGAAAAAGAATTACAATGTGTTATGTACATGTACATATTCCCCAAGAGGAACATAATCACTATGTACTGCAGACAAGTACTGATAAAAAATAAATTTAAAAAAGAGTAGAAATCCAACAAAATTTTTATTTTAACTGTAGAGAAGATGTTCAGACTCATGGAATTGCTTGTAGGGAGAAATCAGATGCTACAGAGGAGGACTGAGAAAGCAGGAAACCTGACACTTGTCACTTGAAGCACGTCATTAAATGTAGTACCCTGTGAAAAAGCACACTTGTCCATGGGGATGTGGTTTGACCCTCCTAATAGTTGTAGCCAGTAGAGTCTGTTACTATAGTTCTTTGATATGGTAGTTCTTAAATATTTTATATATTACTCCTGCTCTCACATCTGCTCCCCTTGGGCATGGAGGTCAAATGAGACCTCAGGAAATGCCAAGAACACTCAACATCAAGTGCTAGCTGCATGGGCTGCAGCCTATGCAGCTGCATAGAAGTATTTAGCTTTATGGGAGTCGTAATAATTTTGAGTAGGAGACATTCACTGTCAGTTTACTCTGAGCCCCACAAGTCATACAATGAGTCCTGAAGGCTACAAGGCAGTGGCTGACATAACTCAGAAAAATAATCTACACTCTGAGAAGCTGAGGGAGGAGGATCAAAACATCAACCCCAGTGTGTGCAACTTAGTGATTTAGTAAGACCCTGTTACAAACTACCAAGTAAAGATGGTTGCGGGTGCATCTTAGTGCCAAGGCTGTGGATTCAATCCACTGTGCAGAAAGGGGAAGAGAGAGAGAGAGAGAGAGAGAGAGAGAGAGAGAGAGAGAGAGAGGAAGAAGAAGAAGAAGAAGAAGAAGAAGAAGAAGAAGAAGAAGAAGAAGAAGAAGAAGAAGAAGAAGGAGAAGAAGAAGAAGAGGGAGAAGAAGAGGGAGAAGGAAAAGGAAAAGGAAAAGGAGAAGGGATAGGGGAAGGGGAAGGGGAAGGAGAAGGAGAAGGAAGAGAAGGAGAAGGAGGAGGAGGAGAAGGAGAAGGAGAAGGAGGAGAAGGAGAAGGAGAAGGAGAGGGAAAGGGAGAGGGAGAGGGAGAAGAGGAGGAGAGAAAGAAGAGGAAGAAGAGGAAGAGGAAGAAGAGGAAGAGGAAGAGGAGGAGGAAGAAGAGGAGGAGGAAGAGGAGGAGGAGGAAGAGGAGGAGGAGGAGGAAGAGGAAGAGGAAGAGGAGGAGGAGGAAGAGGAGGAGGAGGAGGAAGAGGAGGAGGAGGAAGAGGAAAAAGAAGAAAAGAAGAAGAAAGAAGAAGAAAGAAGAAGAGAAAGAAAGAAAGAAAGAAAGAAAGAAAGAAAGAAAGAAAGGTAAATCTAAGCCAGGTTTAGTGGCCAACACTAATAATTTCAGCTATTTAGAAGGCTGAGGCAAGATTATAAATTTGAGGCCAGACTGGGCAAAGGACTCTGTTAACTTTTTTTTTTTTTAAAGGTTGGAGATATAGCTTATGGGTAGAAGTCTTGTGGGTTCAATCCCCAGTATTGTACTTGGAAAAAGAGAAAAATACTTTAATGCCTCCAATCAAATTCTAGGGGACAGAGAACACAAGATATTAATCTTGTTCTGACACTGGAGTGTTGACTCACCTGTCTCCTGGTGGGCACTATTCTTGGGGAAGTGGCTCTGTCCTTCCTGCACACAGCCAGTATAATCTATGAACAGTGTTAAGTGAAAAGGGCGAGGAGCACAGTTATTGTCCTTAGTAAGAACATTTTCTTAGCATCTGCTTTGTGTCCTATGCTGTGTTGCTATGGGAATACAGAGTGCCACATTTGAGAAGCTTCCAACTGGATGGGAGGGTAGGACATAGATTGTTCTGGGTTACTCTTGGGAATAGCTTCAAATGGGATACAGACCTGTGGCCCAGAAGTTCAGACAAAAGACTCTGGAGACTTCTTGTTAAGCAAAACTCAGGGTCAGGATAAGACCCAGAGAGTCTTCAATGATGCATGGAAACTTGTCAATGCAGGAAAGACACTCAGTCTTGGATAAGGATGCAGCATGCACTCCTCCATGTCAGGCTTTGTTTTTGAATGAAACACAGTAGACTGGAGTTGAGAAGGGTTGCAACATGGGTTCTCTGGAAGCACATACTAAGATGGACACCAGAGTGTGTATCAGTTTCTTGAGTGCTATAGCAAATTACTACAAGGTGTGTGGCTCAAAACAATAGAGATTTATTTTCTCACAGTTCTAGAGGTCAGAAGTCTGAGGTTATGTTTGCTGGGCTGAGATCAAAGTGTTGTGAAATCCAACTGGAAGGACAGAGGACATACTGAATTCAGGGTTACGCTCCTCTGGGCACTTTGGAGGACACTCTGTCTCCTGCCTCTCCCAGTTTGTGGTGGCAAGCTGGATTCCCTAGCTTGTGGCCAAATCACCTCAATCTTGGCCTCAATCTTTATATCACTCCTCTTCTGTCTTCAAACTCTCTCTCTCTCTCTCTCTCTCTCTCTCTCTCTCTCTCTCTCTCTCTCACATAAGGACACATGAGGTGGCATTCAAGGTCTACCTGTTCTGTCCAAGACAAAATCCTTCTCTTATAACCCTTAAATTAGTCACATCGTTTCCCTTATGAGTCAATCCTCGCAGGTAAGTTCTGAGGATTAGGATTTAGTCATAGTTTTGAGGGAAGGTCTCCATTCAGCTCACTACAGGGTGCAAGATGTTTAACAAGGATCTGTAAGCCTTCTTACAACACCTGTAAGAAGAATGCAGAGGCAGTAGATGGGTGGGGTAACTTTAGACTATGGTACAGGCCCAGCAGAGTCCTGATAAACTCAGTGGGGATTTCTGGAATCAGAACTTCCTGCCAGAGCTGTATCTTGGTTAGCTAAATGGCTCTTGGCCAAACCCAGTCACTAGATATGGCTATGTCCTAGGAAGGGTATGACCTTGAGCTGGGTCACAGAATGGCTGAGGCAGAGGCTAAAGAGGCTGACAGCTGAAGCTGCCCACTGGCCACTTTCCCATGCTGAAAAGAGAAGTGTTACTTAAAGATGGACCTGGGCAGCTCTGCTCTGGGTCCACCAGAGGGAGGGAGTAGCAGAGAGTGTTAGCAGATGGCTGTGGCGGGGGACAATAGCCCCTGAAGACAGTGCCTCAATGGAGCCTGTGTTCTTCAGCCATGTTGATAAGAGCAAATGTCTTCTCCGTCATGAAAGAGCATGAGAAAAAGAACTCTGTGGCCTCCAGATCCCGTGAAAATCCACTAGCTGGGAACCATTTCTAGGCCATTTCCAAGCACATGTGGGCCCCACGTGACATCTATCTGCCCTTCCTTAATTCTTGGCCTGTACTGCCGATGTGAACACAGCTGCACAAATACAGAGTTTGATTATAATTTATACTAAAAACAAATCTCCCAGCAGCCACAGGGTGCTTGCTTAGGTGGTTTTCTTCTTTGTTTTCTCCCAGAACTCTGTCAAGAAGGACTTAAAATCTTTTTCCTGATTCAGGAGGGGCCTGGAGCTGCACTTCCTGTCTAGGGTCAGCAGCTCCAGGCTGCACAGTGATTTTGAAAGAATATTCCTCAGAGTCTCAGGTCTGGAAGCAAGGTCTGGAGGGCTATGCAGTGGGCACACACAGTGGAGGCTTTCAAGGAGGGTTAGATCATGTCCCATAAAAGGACCACTTTCTCAACTCCCTGGGGACCTCACTCAAAGTTCCTCATCCCATGGAAGCATCCTGTAAAGGAAGAACCCCCGGACCTATAGAGATGCGCTGGAGCCTGGCTCATACACCAGAGGAGCTCTGTGGCAACCCTTATTCCTCTGTGGGGTTGAGGGTCTAGAGAGTGTGGCTACCTAGAAGGACAGAGAACAGACCACATTCAGGGCAGAGGGAGGAGGCATATGACTGTGCGAGTGAGAAGGGTGATCAGACATTAACCCCCAGGCCCATGGGGGAGGCAGCTATTTCCATGACTGGCAGGGAACGGAAGCCCGCTAGTCTACAAACCTGGCCTGTCATCCTCACTGTCCCGGAGCAGTGTCTGAAGCAATCAAAAGGCAAACCCAAAAGGCAACCCAGCACACAAAATAGGACTTGTTTGGGGCATTCCATCTTTAAATGCAAGTCAGGAGACTAGAACTGGAGTGTGAGAGTCAGAGGCTGATGGAGAAGAAAACAGAGTGCAGTGGAAGCTCTTGGACTGTTCCAGCAAGTCGTGCTTCCACCCTTGCTCTCAGTTTCCCCATCTACATAGTGAGGCCCACTGAGCCGAAAGTTCTGACCTTATAGGTGAGGATTCAGAGGTAGAAAAGAGGAGGTAGACTGAAAGGTCCCTGGGGGTAGAGGGCTGGCAGGGAGGCTGGCAGAGCCCTAGAAGAACCCGCCACAGTACTGCTCCTGGGGCTGATAAGTGCATACATGCAGGTCCACAATCGACATGAACAAATATTGCATTTAAAAGGTATAAGGTAAACTAACCATTGAGGAGAATATGTTCTATTAGCTGACCTTGAGAAAATAGCTTTACACTGACCAGGGAGGCCAAATTTGAATGGAAATTCTCATTGACTCTAAGGAGTTGTGCATTGGCCCACATGTCTGGACAGAGGTGAGCCCTGGCCCCAGACTGTGGCTATAGTGAGACGTTCTGCCACTCAGGGAGCACAACCACCTCTGTGCCCCAAGGACTGGGCTTTGAAATCTGCCCTTGTAAGGCCACATTCCCCAAGACCTGTTCCTGCTGCCTACTGAGTACAGCTGGGTCACTAAGAGGACTCCTCTGGTGGCTGGCTTTGCCTTGAGGACACCCTGGCAACCTCTCTTCCCTGGCTTCCTCTTCTTCCCTGGGGTCAGACTGCAGCATGACTTAGGAGTTGAGCTTTGCTTGCCCACTCTTTGTCTTTCTCACAGGCATGTCCCCTAAGAACGTACATACTGTGTACTCCTGGCCTGACAACCACTTAGTCAATGATCTGAAACAATAACCTGGCCCCTGTTGACTCCTCTTCTCTTAGCCTTGGCTCTTTCCTGAATGCTGAGGCATCTCCTACCTCAGCAGGGGGCAAGAACATGTGTCCTAGGCCCCTCACATCTTTCTGTTCTTTCACTATCATTGACAGTGTGGTAGCAAATAGGGGAAATTGAGGCTCAAAGACACCATCAGAGTGGCCACACAGGGCCTTCTGATGCCTGCCCTTTGGTTCTGCCATGATGTTCCAAGCCAAATGGGGCAAACATGCTATGCCACACAATTGCTTCCCTAGTTCAAGTGTTTCTCAGTCCCTGAGAAATGAATATGTTTCTCATAATGTTTGCAATGAAGCTGCTACTTTGAAACTGGCAGCAGCCCAGTGGGTGGGGGCTGGGAGGAGAAAGGGTGAAGTGTCCTCTTGGGCAAGCAAGGGTTCCAGATCCTCAGTATCTATCATTGTACTTGCAGTCTGGGTAGCGGTAGGCAAATGTAGGGTTACAGGTTCTCAGGGGCCTCAAGATGTCCTTCAGTTGGCTGGCAGCCTGGAAAACCTCTGGGTCTGGGCGGGAGCTCTCCCCACAGTGAGCCACAGCTGAGTCTATCTCCTCTTGCACGGGGGAGGGGAACCGCCCCTGGAGAAGTTGAGGCAGCAACTGCTGACACACCAACACCAGGGTGTGTTTCTCGGGGATGGTGTCACAGGAGGGTGGCTGGGCTTGGCAGCCAGAAACCAAGCAGCTAAAAATGTCTTGGTTCTCTCTGGTCCTGGTGGTGATTTGGCTGCCTGGAAAAGAAAAAAAAAAGGAGAGAAAGGAAATATCACACACCCTATGACCCCCTCTCCCTGGGAGAAAGCACTGATAATTAGACTTGCGGGGGGAAGTAGATTGGTCTCCCCACATTTCCCTGTCACCAGGAGATTAAGGGTCTAAGGGCACAATGGTCTCTTCTGACAACACAGAAGGAACTCTCTCTGCTATGATAAGTTAAGCACTGAACTTGGAAAATCCACTTATTCTTACCAGGAACCAGGCTATAATTATAGGAATTATATTCATATTGTTATTCTCTAATCTTTACTACATTAGGGAACTCAGGAAATTATTAGGACTGGTTTCATTTGGTCCTTTAAAATATAAAACCAGGAGGGCTGAGGATATAGATCAGCAGCACAGTGCTTGCCTGGCAAGTGCAAGGTCCAGAGTTCAATTTCCAGTACCCCCCAAAATAAGTAACTAACTAACTAACTAACTAACTAACTAACTAACTAACTAAATAAAATAAAATCAGGAAAAATAACAGGTAATCTAGAGTATGCAGATTGGTATGGAAGTGATATTCAGTGATTTATGTAGCTAGAATATTATAGAATCAGTCTGAGTTTTTTCTTACTTGATTCTACTTAATGAAGGTGAATCAGGAAATAAATAAGTGTGGCTTAATTTCTCTGTCTTTGTAGACTTCATATATTAAAATATCAGAAATCAGGAAGAAAATCCTTTGTCCTATTATTGAGCTTTGAAAATCTGATCACCATGAGAATGGGGATTTTAAAGGGTTCTAAATGCTGTACAAGCTTTTGTACATAGTGAGAAACATGATTCACTCATGCATCTCATTCAGTTCCATAGTTTTAAATTTGAAAACATTATGAAAAGCAAATGTGCCAACATGGATTGTAAAATGTACCAGTGAATCAGCCAGATATTTAAGTGTTAGATCAAGGCTACATCTGTCTGATGACAAAGGCTCTGAGGAGCAGATAGGTCCAGGCATTGTGTGTGTGAGCAGGACCAGGGCAGGTCCCGGGCCACACAGTCCCAATTACACAACAGCACTGCCTTAGAAGGGTACAGTTGGGGATGTGCCACTATGGATAATGCCCCTTGTGGACAAGGACAAATTCACTTCCCCTTTGGAGCTAGAGCTGGAGCACAAATTCAGAGGAGGGTGAGGGACATTTTAAAGGACATTGAAAACTCCCTCAGCTTAGATTGCTCTCATTGTGACATACAGAGACTGAAAAGGCCAATAGCGTCACCCTAGGTCACCCCTCCTTAGCTGCTGTAACCCTGACATTCTCCTTGACAGCTGAGCCAGGCCCATGCTGCGTACCTTCCTGCTTGTCGATGACACCCAGAGCGCTAGCATCCCGGATGAACAGATGCCCATTGTTAAAGATGCCAAACATGCCAGCATCAACATGGGTGAAGTAGAAGAAATAGTTCAAATCGTTGCTCCTTAGGGACTCCAGGACACCAAGGAGCTGGTAGGCAAGGTCTGCTGCTCGGTCAGGGGGTGCGCCGTAGAATTCCTGCAGTGGCCTGGTGCTGGTGCTGACGAGGAGTCTCCCACAGGAGCCCAGGTACTTGGGCAATGGCCAGCCCTCCGCCCCAGGGAAGATCTGCCAAGCCGAAAGGAGCAAGCATTAGCAAATAAGTGAGAAAAATCTCATGGTGATAGCTCTCCCTCTCCCTCTCATGGAACGTACACAAGAAAATCAGCCTTCATAGGCATCCCTGGTTTCAAAAACCATTGGAAAAGTGTCTCTTCATCTTTTTTTATACCTTCTGGGACATAACAATACCTCTCCCCTTATTTTATTGTTGTCTATGGAAAGATTTAGGAAGACGGTTGTTCTCATTTTGGTGCAATGCATTATATTTTAACATTTTTAAGAAGGGTATAGAAATGTTAATGGACCTGCTATGATTTTCAATGATATCTAGACTTCAGAGGAATACATTTAAATGTTGTACCATTGAAAAAAAAAACCCAGGAATAATATTTGAGATTTCACAGCTATGTCTTCTTAGGAAGAAGCTAAGGGAAAGAATTACTGATTGTAAGAAAAATACTTTTAAAGAATAACAGTGCAAGCTGGGGGCAGTGGCATGTGCTCATAATCTCATCTGAGCTACAAGGATTCCTTGAGCCCAGGAGTCTAAGACCAGTCAGGGCAGTATAACAAGCTCCCTTCCCTACTCTCAAAAACAAAACAAAAACAAACAAACAAACAAACAAAAACAAACCAAAAAATTAAAGTAACAGTGCAGTTTTTTGGTTCTTGGTTAGGAAAAAAATCACGAGGATGGTCCTCAGGTAATTTAAGGCTCTCAATGTCTAAGTCCTTTTCCTTCCACCCGTGGGCAAATCTATCTGGCCGGGGTGACTGCATATTCACAGAGGCGCCTCAACTGATTGGAACTTTCCAGAAGACTTAACACTGTGGGCCTAGGGAAGCACAGCTTTGTCTGACTTCTTGTCAGAGGCCTAAACTTCTCCGTTGGTGACACAACAGAGGATAGGGAGTACTGGATGATTTTTCTTGACCGCTAAATAAAGCAGTTGTACCTAGCATGGTGTTTCTTTCAACTATGGGGAAAATAACCAAAACTATAACTACCAAGTACTCTTTCCCTTATTCTCCTTCTAATAGAAATAAAAGTGGACTGAGGGTATAGTTCAGTGGTATAGTGCTTGCCTACCATGAAAAAGGCCCTGGGCTCCATCCCCAGCAGTGCAAAAAAAAAAAAAAAAGTCATATTTCTTTGATAATTTTCTGTGGTCTTCTTCCATTTTGACTCTCATTATGAAGTACCCATACCTGTGAGTTTCCTCTGACCAGAGGGGAACATTTACTGCTTTGTATCTTGATAGGCGATCCCAGGCTTGCTGTCACTGTCCAAATGTGCAGTCTCAGCTAAGCGTTTTGTATATGCCTGTGATCCCAGCACTCTTTGTGGCTGAGGCAGGAGGACTGCAAATTCAAGCACAGTCTGGGCAATTTATTAACTTGGTGAAACCCTGTGTCAAAATCAGTCAGTCGAGTCCTAGCCCAGGCATGATGAGTGTGTGGGAGAGCTTCCGGCTACCCTGTGCCAGTGGGAACTAATGGTCCCAGCCCAGGCACAGCATGGGTAAGACTCTATTCCACCCTGTTGAGAAGCCCCACATGACTCCATAGTACCCTCGACCCTGCCCACTGAGTAGGAATTTCTGCCACATTCGGGGAACCCCCAGATCCAGTCCTAGCTCAGGCCCAGTGAGTGTGTGGGAGAGCTGCCTCTCCCCCATACTGCACCTTGTCCCCTCCAGACTCAGCTCAGGCCTAGCCAACAGGCCTGGGTGAAACCATGCAGCTGCAATCCCTGCAGAAAGTGTAGGAGACAGAACCACCCAGCTAGTCCAGGAGCAGAACATCCTGCCAGAGGGGCACAACAGGTTCACCCCCAAGGGGAGCAACAGGAAAGAGCTGAGCACAGCAGCCAGACCCAAGACAGGCACAGCTGGATAAATCCAAACTTTGTAGATCTGCACCTGAACTTCAGTAGGTGCTAAGGTTATAACTGCAACAAAGATCTACAACAAAGGTCAGAAGACAGTGCTACACAAAATGATGAGAAGGAACAAAATGCAATCTCAGAACCCAAGCACACAATAACAAGTGCAGAGAACATTAACAGAGAACAAATTGGGAATCACACAGCTGAAAGCAAAGAATCAATGGCTTCTGAAATAAACAAACAGCTGCAGAAAGGTATAGAGGAACTCAGATTGGAAATGAAATAAGAAATCCCTGAATTAGTAACATCAGCAGTAAAGAATCAAATACAGAAACATGGAGGAAACCCAATGTCCACACACAAAAAGTGCAGAGGACACGAGCTTGGTTCAAATGTATGAATTAACAGCGTGGAGAGTAAATAAGCAACAGCAGAAAGTCATAGAGGATCTCAGAGTGGAATTCTTTTCTACTAGCTCAGCTCAAATGTACGAATTAATAGCATCGATAGTAAATAAACAACAGCAGAATGTTATAGAGGAACTCAAAGTAGAATTGTTTTCTGAAAAAAAAAAGAATTCTCAGAACTCATAGCATCTGAAGTAAAGAATCAACTACAGAAACATAGGGAAACCCAATCTGAAAAAAACACTGTAGTGAAAGAATTAGTACCTACATCTAAAGAGGACATTGATAAAAAAAATAGAGGAGGTTAGAAAAATGACAGATTCCTTGAATGAGCAATATAAGAAAGAAATATATCGCATGAAGCGGACTCAAAGAGATATAGAGGAAATTAAAATCTCAATCACAAGCTTGCATAACCGTTTAAGTGAAAGTGAAGACAGTTTCAGATCTTGAAGATGCTGGTGCAGCTAGTGAAAAGGTAACAAAGGATCTCTTAAAAACAACTAGGATGCAGGAAAGAATAATCCATCACCTGCAGGATGATGCAAAGATGAGCAATGTGAGACTAATAGGTATCAATGAGAAAGAAGGAGTCAATACAAATGACATTAAAAAAACATGGGCAGAAGTAATAGCAGAAAACTTCCCAAATATGAGGAAACAATCTGACATTCAGGTAACAGAAGGACACAGAACGCCAAGTAACCATAACCCAGTGAAAAACACACCAGACATGTAATAGCCAAGATCCGAGAAATTCAGCACAAGAATAATCTACTGAAAGCCATTAGAGAAAAGAAGCAGATCACATTCAAGGAAAAACCCATCAGAATTATGGCCGACTTCTCTTCACAAACCATGCACGCAAGAAGAGCATGGAGCAGAGTACTTCAGGTCCTCTATGAAAACAAATTCCAGCCCAGACTACTATACCCTGCAAAACTCTTTCAAGTTTGATAGAAAAGTAAAATACTTTCATGACAAATAATATCTAAAGAATTTCGTGATGACAAAGCTACAGAGGCTACTGAAAGATGTTCTAGAGAGGGACCAAAATGTCCCAAACTCCACCAATGAGATGAGAAGCAACAAACTAAAAAAGGCAAGCAATTAAACACAGGAGAAAAAGGAGTAAATGACAACAGGTAAATAACGTGTCAATCATAAGTCAATACATCTCAATTCTAACCACCAATGTAAATGGACTCAATTGACCATTTAAGAGAAATAGATTGGCACAGTGGATTAGGAAACAAAATTCAACAATATGCTGTATACAAGAAACACATTTAACTCATAAAGACATTCATAGGCTGAAAGTCAAAGGATGGAACA